GGTGCCTTGTCCGAATTACATGCGCTAGCTGGAAACGAGCTTAGACATGTGTTTTGCACTTATTTTAGTCCACATGTAGACCATATTGAAATATCAAAAACATCTTCTATTTGCAAATGGAAGGAGCATGTTGTTTTCGTTTTCTCATTTGTTTCTCAATTTTCCTGCTTCTTTTGTTTCATTTTTCTGCTTTCCCGTGTGATTTTTGGACGGGATGTGTGCATCTATTGATCGACTTTACATATGCACCAACTAATCTTTTTATAAATTATTATAGATGAACAAAAATACGTCGGTAAAACAAAAAATAGTAATGGCGTGTGCACAAACGATTCTAGTTCTGACTAGAAGTCGTACCTAGCTAGAGTTACCTCACCGACCCGGCATATCGTCGTTGCTATTGTCTTAGAATCGGAGTCCTGAATTTCTTCTTCTTAATTGCAGAGCTATGAGAATATATAGACAACATCGTATGCAGCAATAATACCAAACATCGAGTTCTCCTTCTCCATAATAAACACAAGAAAGACCAACGCTCTTAACCTACCTATCGTCCTGCACTCCCCTACTTTTGGCATGGGCAAGAGCGCCCTTTTCTTCCATGGCGAGTGCCAGTCCGAGACGTCGTCGACGTGCTCCACGGAGAGCGCCATGTCGGTCCACAATTTCGTGGTGCGTGATTACCGGCTGCTCGAGGGCATCGGCGGCGGCAAGTTTGTCAGCTCGAGCACATTCAAAATCGGCGGCTACGCCTGGACGATCAGGTTCTTCCCAAACGGGGAGCAGAAGGACGGATCTAGCGACGCGGCCTCCTGTTATCTTTATTGCGACAGCCCAGCGAAGGACGTGAGGGCACGGTCCTCGTTAAATGTGTTGGAGAAATTAGACGGGGATGTACAGGTGACAACCTTCAGCATCTCAGAGGATACATTTTCTCCAACAAACTACTGTTGGGGGTATAGAAATTTTGTCTCGAGATCGAAGCTTAACACTTTGTCGGACGCCAACAATGGACGCTTCACGGTGAGATGCGTTCTCATGGTTATACATGAACCCCGAACGCACAACAGGAGACCTATCGCAGTGCCACCGTCGCGCATGCGGGAGAGCCTCGAGCGCATGCTCAAGAATGGAGAAGGTGCAGATGTGACGTTCAGCGTGCGCCACCAGCTGTTCAATGCCCATCGTTGTGTGCTGGCTGCACGTTCTCAGGTTTTCAAGGCCGAACTCTTTGGTCCGTTGAAGGAAAATACGGCGTGGCACATCGAGGTTGATGACATGGAGCCCCAAGTCTTTGAGGTGCTTCTTCACTTCATGTACACAGATACTATGCCAGATGATGATGAAGACGAAGGCAAAATTGAAAGGCTACAACACTTGCTTGTTGCCACGGACAGGTACGGAGTGGATAGGTTGAAGGTCATGTGTGAAGACAAGCTCTATGAGGGCATCAATGTCGAGACGGTCGCGACCACGTTGCTTCTGGCAGAGCAGCATCACTGCAAGGATCTTAAGGAGGCTTGCATTCAGTTTATAAGTTCACCACGGGATATACTACGGGCTGTCATGGCCACTAATGGATTCAAGCAACTCGTAGCTAGTTGTCCTTTGCTCATGGAGGATATACTGAAGGTTGTGTCCTGCGCTTAGAATGTGAGGTGACTACTCACAGTGAGCAGGGAAAATATTATTCTCATTTACTGACCATGTTTGATTTTAGTCATCTTCATTTTATCACACTTTTTTTTTGCGATGAGGTATATGGTATCATCATAACTATTGGTGTTTTTGCATGTTGCCATGATAATTCTTGGATTTTTTGCTTAAAAGCTACTCAATTTTGCTTTTTAGGAATTGCATATGATGGCTTACAAAAAAAAAGAGAAAAGATAGGATGTTAGTCCTGAATGATTTGCATTGCTCGACCGTGCCATATATGCCAGCGAGTAGCAAACACGGTTATGGTAGGGCGGCCAAACCATGGTAGCCTCTAGAAATTAAACCTTCCGCTCATTGTTCCATTGATGAACTATGTCAGCTTGAGTTAAATGTGGGCCTTGAGTGTGCTTCCTATCGATTGAAAAAAGAGTTGGCTGCCTGAGGAGGGATCGAGCTCACGACATTCTCTTCGGACCTTATGGCAGCCAACAACTGAACTACATCACATCTATGCTAGAAAACAAGGTCTGATTTCTAAGCGAATAGTTCTCCATCACTTATTTTTGCAACAAATCAGGTCAACTTATATATGCGTGGGTTCAGAGAATCAATAAGCTGATACATCAATAGAGGGTGCAAGTTGCGAGAATCAATAATCTGAGGCATCATTAGAGAAATTGTTTATCAAATAGAAACGAACAAGTTAGCCCGAGGAAAAACATGCACAAGCGGAGGACTCGGTAGGGCGAGGTAGGGCGCTCGCCCTACCTTGTTGTTTTTACGTGTACGTATATGTAGATTTTGATTGATTGCTGGAAAAAACATGGATGAATAGCATGGTGTAATTTACTATTGGGTCATGAATCTTATTGGGTCATCGAGACGATCAGACGAACTGAGCCACAACCGTCAACATCGATCAAGTCCTCGTCCTCTAGGCTCCGAATTCTCTCCTTTTCTCAAAAATCTCAAAAAAAAGAAGTCCTCCAGGCTCTTAGTTTGAAGTTATATAAACCAATAAAATGTGTCTGAAAAAAAAAGAACCAGAACGCATGCAAAAGGACTCTTACTTTGACAAGAACTCGTACAGATCTCTGATTCCCACATTGACTCAGCACCGTCGTTGTTCTTGTTCTCTCCATACATCGCAGACCGGAGAGAATATATAGTACGACACCGGCCGTATGTGGCAATAATAAGGTCAAGTTCTCCGTATATATGCACAAGACCAACGCTCATAAGTCGTGACCTACCCATCGTCCTGCACTCCCCTACTTCTGCGATGGGCAACACCAACAGCGGACTTTTCCTCCATGGCGAGTGCCAATCCGAGACGTCGTCGACGTGCTCCACTGAGAGCGTCATGTCGGCGCACAATTTCGTGGTGCGTGATTACCCGCTGCTTGAGGGCATCGCCGGCGGGAAGTCTGTCAGCTCGAGCACGTTCAATGTCGGCGGCTACGCATGGACGATCCGGTTTTACCCCGATGGGCAGCAGAAAGACAAATCTAGCGAGGCCTCCTGTTATCTGTATTGCGCCAGCCAAGCGAATAACGTGAGGGCGCGCTTCTCCTTGGACGTGGTGGAGAAATTAGACGGCATACAAGTTACAACCTCCGATTCCGACGAGCATACATTCTGTGCACCACACTACAGTTGGGGGTACCAGAGATATGTCCAGAAATCGACACTTAGAGCTCTGTCGGACGCCAACAATGGTCGTTTCACGATAAGATGCGTTCTCCAGGTCATACATGAAACTCGAACGGTGCGCAACAGGAGACCTGTCGAGGTGCCGCCGCCGAGCCTGCGAGAGAGCCTCGAGCACATGCTCAAGGATGAAGAAGGTGCAGATGTGACATTCAGTGTGCACGACCAGCTGTTCAGAGCCCATAGATGCATGTTGGCCGCACGTTCTCTGGTTTTCAAGGCGGAACTCTTTGGACCGATGAAGGAAAGCAAGACAGAGCACATCAAGGTCGATGACATGGAGCCCCAGGTCTTTGAGGCGCTTCTCCACTTCATGTACACGGATGCTATGCCAGATGACGATGAAGACGAAGGCAAAATTGTAAGGTTACAACACTTGCTAGTTGCCACAGACAGGTACGGAGTAGACAGGTTGAAGATCCTGTGTGAAGACAAGCTCCATGAGGGCATCGATGTCGATATGGTTGCCACCACGTTGCTTCTGGCAGAGCAGCATCACTGCAAGGATCTTAAGGAAGCTTGCATTCAGTTTATTAGTTCACCACGGGACAAACTATCTGCTGCCATGGCAACTGATGGATTCAAGCAACTCGTAGCTAGTTGTCCTTTGCTCATGGAGGATATACTGAAGGGGGTGTCGTGCACCTAGAATGTGAGGTGACTACTCACGCCGAGCAGGCAAAATATTATGCAGTCATGTACGGACCATGTTAGATTTTAGTCATCTTTGTTTTACCACACCTTTTACATTGTCATGATAATTCTTGGATTTTCTGCTTATAAGCTACTCGATTTCATATTTCAGGAATATTGCATACGATGCCTTACAAAAAGAAAATTTCAAGAAAAAGATAGGATTGTAGTCCTGGATGATCTGCGTTGCTCGTTCGTTCAATCTCTGCTGGCGAATAGCAAACACGATTATGGTAGCACTGCCAAACCATGATGGCCTCTAGATATTAAACCTTCCTTCATTGTTCCACGGATGAACTAAACCGGCTCCAGGTAAATGTGTAGCAATCCCTCAAACGGTGAAAAAGTATATAGCTGTTCTTGAAGAAAAATACTATAAAACTTGTCAGGATAATGGTAGATTAGCGACACAGACTATCATAGCTAGGGTAAGGCATCAAAGAGGAAAATAGCGCGGCAAGGTGCACGTTTCCTTCTAGTACCTAATCTATACTAGAAGAACGCCCGTGAGTTGCAACGGGGCCACATTAACTTGAAGAGTTCAATATTACGACATTGGCGACCTTTTTTATCATCAAATCCTCACACACACAGACACACACTCTCCCTCCCTCTTCCTCACTCTCTATGCCCCTCTCCCTCTCTCTCTAACACACAAACATATCCATCTTATTGGGTACGGGACTATAATCCATCTATTTCACACATACACGCTAGTGCATAACAATATGGATTATGTGTATTATATTTGCCACCAGAACTGAGGAAATTAATTTCATGTAAATCGACCAGCCACAACTCCAAGAATACGCGGACGAGGTGGCTCGGGTCGGCGTCGGCGCCGTCCAGCGCGGGCCACGGGCCCGCTTCCAAGTGCACGTGCAATGCACGTCTTCACAAATATTATAACCAGATGTGAGAAATCACATGCATAGAAAAGACATTCTGATAGCAATCCAAATACCATACTCAATTTAATACCTAACCTGGATAATACTCTTATTTCTATGCGCCAGAAAAAATGGAATAGCAAAGCTAAGTATGCCTACATACGCTCAGATTATATATAAGAATCTTGGATGAACAATTGCAACAAAGCACTAAGCAGCGATAAATTTAAATAAAAGATCCATTAACTATGCAGGCAGCAGGCTTGTTACAACATAGAGAGATAGGAAAATGTCACCTCCAGTAATGTAGCGCAAAGGAGTGGAACGAAGCATGAATGAGCAGTTGTCTGTTCTTCTTCATGTACATGGATCAGCAGTAGAGGCCAAGTATATAAGTACTTGACCGAACTCCACTCTTCGTGTACGGAGAGCCATGTCACCTTCTCGCCGCTGCAGCATGGGAGGACGGTTGGTTCACGTGACCCTCCAGCTGAGGGATCCATGGTGGCTGACCGTCGAGCTCGAGGCAAAGAAGTTGAGGGCAGTAGTGGCGAGATCCATGCCGGCCAACCGGGCGAAGAGGACGTCGTCGGGGAGGGACACATCGGCAAGATCCGGTCACCACGCGACCTGAAGAGCAACAGTGATCTCCACAAGCTGTAGGCCGACGGCGTGCTCCATCCCCTGCGATGGGGTAACCATGGCGGTGGCCACAGCTCCTCATGCTCGCCTCGATCTCGGCGGCACACCCTGAGTGTAGGAGGCAGCAACGACCTCGACGAAATCATGGCCTCCATCCCGGAACGCAATCATATCGCTCTAAATAAATGGATTCAATCATGTGACTCTAATTACTTCGGATTGTTATATGCACACTAAGTGGGTGCAGTTAGGAAAGAAAATGTTTTCTAATTAAAGTGATTGAGTGATTTAAGGTAAGGTTAATTAATTTAGATTTGATTTTTAGTGATTGTTAGTAAAGTATGATGCGTCTTTAAAATCTTTTATTTGTTTCCTTAAAATCTATTATTTGTTTCCTAAAGAAATTTGCAATAATGGAAGGTATCAGTTGATTTGGATAAGTTAGTAAATTTAGATCCGTGATTGCGTGCACGTTTGGAAAGTGCTGATTTGCAAGGAAAGAGCTGAGGGGTAAATAAACCGATGAATAAGAAACCAGCATCGAAGAAAATCTACGACGGTTAACCTACGAAAAAAAACCGGACGAAAGTGATGGGACGAAAAAAACCTGGAAGCGAGACTACCAACTGCTCCATTAGGAGTAGAGATCATTAGATTTATCACGAAGACTACAACTTGACGAAACCCGACTAAAAAAGATTTACAATGAAAATTATTTTCATCTCATGTATATTTGTTTTTTTAAAGGACATTTCATTGAATTGATTTATCAAAGTGATACAACCGCATCTAAAGAATGTCCGCCCCTACATAACATGATGCACACAGCCAACAAGTCCAAACGACCAAAAAATAAACATAGTTTTGTAGCAAAAATAAATCAATCCAGCTTAGGGTGGGGCAGATCCTATACGGAGATTACACCGCCATCCATGGAGGGAGAAAACCTCCTGGACGTACGCTCCAGCCGTGTAGACGTCATCATAAAAAGGTCTTTGTCCTCCAACTTTTGCAGGATAGACCAAGTATGGAGCCATCGCGTAGATGCATGAATAACCTGCACAGGAGAAGAACCATATCTCTGCTCCTAATGGAGCAGTTGGTAGTCTTGCTACCAGGTTTTTTTCGTCCCACCTTCCATGGTATTTTTTGGTACCTCCTCCCACCTCACACTGAACCGCCACGAACCGAAAGAACCTCGTAGCGATGCCCCACCCAGTCCACATGCAAACCTTCCTTGCACCAGAAAAAACGGCCGAAAAAATACTATGAAAAAAATTCAAAATGGGAATGGGCCGACCCGGCCCTGGCCCCGGCCCCGGCCCCATGGCCCCAAGGCCAATATGCGAGGCCATGGGCTGACCCATTTCATCAGAATTTTGTGGCCCCATTGACCCATTGGGCACATGAGGCCGACCCAAAATTTAGCAAATGTTTACACATTCCAGAGGATTACAGGTTTCTTGAACCAAATGTTTGCACCGTCCAACATTTGTGGCCTCGCCAAATTACTAATAAGTCCCCAAAAAATAGATGTCAGTAAATGTGTACACAGTGCAAGATCAAAAGATTACAAGTTTCAAAGAACGTTAAGCTAAGGACCTCAATCCAACAGACTCAGACAAGATCAAAAGATTACTAGTTCAACATGCTAAACTTTTCACATCCAGTAGGTTATAGAGAAAGCTGACATGTCTTTGCTTCATCATCTGCTTGAGGTTTAACATGAATTGCTCCAACAAGTATCAATCCTCGATATCTGTATTTACAAAGAAATGTTACAAGAGTAATTCTGTGCACATCAACTAAATAGTATATTTATCCCCCAAAAAAACTAAATAATATATTTATGAACAGAGGAATATTCTTAGTAGCAAAGGCATGTTCCAGAAAACCAATTCATGATCAAGTTTGCAAGAAAATACACTTCTAAATATCCATCATACACTACCCATCATCCACTCCACAACAAAGATTAGAACAAAGAGAATATTCCTGATTCTGGTAAGCATATCAACAAGCAAGAATGGAAAAAGAAATATATATTAGAGATCAACTATAACTTGGGGAAATCAAAACTAACAGCACTAGTTCTGTGTGTAAAACACTATATATTCATCTACATGATTGGGCTGCATCTTGCAAATAGTTCCCTGGAACAAACTATAGATATGAAATCCCTCATTAAAAAGTAGACTTCATACTTCAAGTGTACTTTCATATACATGGCACTATATACATCAGAAGGTTTCTCATACCTTGTAAGTCCATTATAATTTCATGAACTGAAGCCAAGCTACGTTGAGTATTAGCTGCAGAAAAAAAGAAGAAACTTGTAAACTTTAAGCATTAATAAGAAACAAAGAAGAAACTTGTGTCGTATGGCTTTATCGGTGGACCGTATCCAATCTTGTAAGCAAACAAGAGCTTCAAGTGTCGTTGCTATCATTCGACTTCGAAAATCTGATAGGACTCTCTTCCCTGTGCTGAAGGCGGACTCGGCTGCCATCGCAGAGGCAGGAGCCGCCAAGATATCTGCTGCCATGCGACTCAGCGTTGGGTATTCACCTGAGTTGGTCTACCACCATGATATGCATATACGCAAACTCAACCTGGCAGCTAGCCCAAGAAAAAGAAGTCATAGGACCCTATATCACAGAATAGAAAGAAACTCACAGTTGGACATATGCACTACTCCAGGAAGGTTTTTTGTGAGCATCATCAACTTATGAAGTCGCATACACTCGCACCCTCATGCTAGCCACAAACTTCAGTTTGTCCATCCTATCAGCAGAGTAAAATTTGCCGATTCAACAAAAAAACAGAGTATAATTGTTTCGCAGGACAACTATTTCTGGTTTATTTAGTAACCAACAGCAGGAACTAACACTAATTACTTTTCCTTGGATCAGAGGACCGAAATGCATGCTTCATGGCCACTCTGAAAGAAAGTGGCATGCTGCACAAAAAAGAAAACTGCTGCTAATTGCTAAACTACAGCTACACAGGAGCTAAACTGAAGCACTATTTCTTCTTGAGAACAATCAAACAAGTCCCATGCTGGTCAGTCTCTTCCAAGCTCCAACTACTGAAACAATTGCAGACAACACTGACCAAGAACTAGACCAGTCATGGCAGCTGCGCTGGGACAGGGAGGAAGTCGACAAGAGTCTCACATGTGTGATGATGACGATGAGGACGGCGACCGGAATGGCGAGGTAGATGGTGGACGGGACCGCAGGTCAACGAGCTCGACGGCGACCAAGACGACGAACGAGATGAGGGAGGAACGCCGGCGGCAGCAGGCCAACAGAGGTGTTCAGGGGCATCCGGCGGCGGTAGCAAGTCGGGAGCGGCCGGTAGAGAAGGTCGGGGGATGCCGGGGGCGGCAGAGATGGCCGGCAGCTGCCGGCGGCGGAAGAAA